GCAGAACAAGTGAGTCAATGAAGCAATCAATACAAATCAAGGAATAGGATCAATAAGCAATCACAATGAGCCTGCTTGAAAAGGCTTTCATCAAAATTGATCTATTTTATAAAGAATTTGTTAAATGAAACAAGCCTAGACACTTTATGAGCTGTGTACCATCAGGATGTGGGTTGATCATGACTCTCCACAACTTCCTAAGCAATGTTTGTAGAGTAAATTTAATAGATGATCACTAAATGTGCAAAAGACTTCTTATTTTATATGTTACTTTAGAATGCAAACAATCATGGCTCTCCACAATGTCCTATCCTTTGTTTATAGAGCAAAGTGAATAGACAATCACAAAATGTGTAAAAGACTTTTCATCAAGAAATGTTATATATTAGTGATTCTTGATAAAATCCAAAGTATCTGTAATGTTATTGGTTTTCTACCCATATTACAAAGAATAGAAAGTTGTGGAGAACCATGATCGTTATGACGCATAAAAGAAGTTTTTTGAACAATCAGTGATGTTTCATTTCACTTGCTGTACAAGCATTACTTATTGCTACAAAGGATAGGAAATTGTGGAGAGCCATGATCACACACATCTTGAAGAGATACAGCTGTAAAAATGAATAATATTATCATTACCAGTGGAGATGAAGAGAAAAGATACTACACTTTGATCCCAGCTTCACAGTCAGGGAGTGAAGGAAAGTGTAACTTGAGTGTCACTTGCAGCTCAAACAATGAATACTAAATGTTTCCTGATAAGGAAATGACTAATATTACTATTAGAGATGAGGAGAATAGGTACTACAATTTGATCCCAGTGAGTGAAGAAAAATCTAAATTGAGATTGCTGCTTGGTCAATGAATAGTGATTTTTTTCTCATAATATTAACATTAGCATATCAAGGGTTTTAGTGCTTTAAATATTTATCCTGCCTTACAGTTATATACTGAATCGTATTGTTGTCGACAGTTATTGTTGATTTTTTTAACATCATTGAAGTTATGTAAAAGTTGTTCACATTAAAGGTCTGTTTGATTCCTATGATAGCAGCAAATCTTGTGTTATGGGATAATTGATATTCGATAAACGTTACTTGATTTTCAGTGAAACGATTAAAAATAGATTGTGTCCTGTGGTTTTCAAAATTAAAGTTAATTTTAGGTTGATTAAATTTTTTATATTGATTGAGACATCATGAGGTTGGGCAAAGCAGTGGGAGGGAGAACAAGAGTAAAACCAAATAGTAAAAAAAATCATTTCCAATGCATTTTCATAATAAAAATCATTTCCAATACACTTTCCTAATAAAAATCATTTCCAATGCATTTTCCTAATAAAAATCATTTGCAATGCATTTTCCTAATAAAAATCATTTCCAAAGAATTTTCCTAATAAAAATCATTTCCAATGCACTTTCCTAATAAAAATCATTTCCAATGCATTTTCATAATAAAAATCATTTGCAATGCATTTTCATAATAAAAATCATTTCCAATGCATTTTCATAATAAAAATCATTTCCAATACACTTTCCTAATAAAAATCATTTCCAATGCACTTTCCTAATAAAAATCATTTCCAATGCATTTTAATAATAAAAATCATTTCCAATACATTTTTATAATAAAAATTATTTCCTATGCATTTTCAGTGTAAAAATCATTTCCAATGCATTTTCGTAATAAAAATCATTTCCAATGAATTTTCCTAATAAAAATCATTTCCAATGCATTTTCAGAGTAAAAATCATTTCCAATGCATTTTCATAATAAAAATCATTTGCAATGCACTTTCCTAATAAAAATCATTTCCAATGCACTTTCCTAATAAAAATCATTTCCAATGCATTTTCCTAATAAAAATCATTTCCAATGCATTTTCATAATAAAAATCATTTCTAATGCATTTTCATAATAAAAATCATTTCCAATACACTTTCCTAATAAAAATCATTTCCAATGCATTTTCCTAATAAAAATCATTTCCAATGCATTTTAATAATAAAAATCATTTCCAATACATTTTTATAATAAAAATTATTTCCTATGCATTTTCAGTGTAAAAATCATTTCCAATGCATTTTCGTAATAAAAATCATTTCCAATGAATTTTCCTAATAAAAATCATTTCCAATGCATTTTCAGAGTAAAAATCATTTCCAATGCATTTTCATAATAAAAATCATTTGCAATGCACTTTCCTAATAAAAATCATTTCCAATGCACTTTCCTAATAAAAATCATTTCCAATGCATTTTCCTAATAAAAATCATTTCCAATGCATTTTCATAATAAAAATCATTTCCAATGCATTTTCATAATAAAAATCATTTCCAATGCACTTTCCTAATAAAAATCATTTCCAATGCACTTTCCTAATAAAAATCATTTCCAATGCATTTTAATAATAAAAAATCATTTCAATACATTTTTATAATAAAAATTATTTCCTATGCATTTTCAGTGTAAAAATCATTTCCAATGCATTTTTCGTAATAAAAATCATTTCAATGAATTTTCCTAATAAAAATCATTTCAATGCATTTTCAGAGTAAAAATCATTTCAATGCATTTTCATAATAAAAATCATTTGCAATGCACTTTCCTAATAAAAATCATTTCCAATGCACTTTCCTAATAAAAATCATTTCCAATGCATTTTCCTAATAAAAAATCATTTCAATGCATTTTCATAATAAAAATCATTTCAATGCATTTTCATAATAAAAATCATTTCAATACACTTTCCTAATAAAAATCATTTCCAATGCACTTTCCTAATAAAAATCATTTCCAATGCATTTTAATAATAAAAATCATTTCCAATACATTTTATAATAAAAATTATTTCCTATGCATTTTCAGTGTAAAAATCATTTCCAATGCATTTTTCGTAATAAAAATCATTTCAATGAATTTTCCTAATAAAAATCATTTCCAATGCATTTTCAGATTAAAAATCATTTCCAATTCATTTTCCTAATAAAAATCATTTCCAATGCACTTTCCTAATAAAAATCATTTCCAATGCACTTTCCTAATAAAAATCATTTCCAATGCATTTTCCTAATAAAAATCATTTCCAATGCATTTTCATAATAAAAATCATTTCTAATGCATTTTCATAATAAAAATCATTTCCAATACATTTTCCTAATAAAAATCATTTCCAATGCACTTTCCTAATAAAAATCATTTCTAATGCATTTTAATAATAAAATCATTTCAATACATTTTATAATAAAAATTATTTCCTATGCATTTTCAGTGTAAAAATCATTTCCAATGCATTTTCGTAATAAAAATCATTTCCAATGAATTTTCCTAATAAAAATCATTTCCAATGCATTTTCAGAGTAAAAATCATTTCCAATGCATTTTCATAATAAAAATCATTTGCAATGCACTTTCCTAATAAAAATCATTTCCAATGCACTTTCCTAATAAAAATCATTTCCAATGCATTTTCCTAATAAAAATCATTTCCAATGCATTTTCAGATTAAAAATCATTTCCAATGCATTTTCATAATAAAAATCATTTCCAATACACTTTCCTAATAAAAATCATTTCCAATGCACTTTCCTAATAAAAATCATTTCTTAAAGAGGAAAACTGAATTGCTTTTTATATGAAGCTATACTTCTTGGACCACTAGATCCTGATTCAGCCACCAATAGAAACAACTCCTAAATTTTCTTCTCATCACTTCAACCAATTTTATGCCATTGAAGATAAAGAAATTCTCTTGCATTTTTTTATTGCATCTCTTGAAATAAATTATTGGTAGAAATCTTCAATAAAAAAAGATACAGCAACAACTGCATTACACAAACTGTTTTAAGTGATCAAATCATGACTCACAGCTTTCATTATTTTTCATAAAGCAATTCAACAAGAAAGTACTAAGTGTTCCTCAACATCTGATATCAAAGCTTGCAAATATTACATTAGAACTGAATTCGCAATCAATTGCATGTTCTCTTATTCCAATTGATTGTTTTTTATTTTTGTTTGTCTCAGCCACAATTTCTCTTTCATATAAAATTGCTTTGTTATTTCTATTAATTGTTTCTGACATTCTGAGGATCAGAGAACAAAAACAGTTTAGTGATTCCCAATCTCAACATAGTCTCCTTACTTCTGTATCATGTTACAAGTGTCAGGCAAAAATAAATGCCGATTCTTTTTTAATTCAGTTTCTGGATATTAAGACTAGTCTTCAACATAGTCTTTGATCTTCCCAATCAAGGCATCATTGTTGGTGAAATAGTAATCACTGTTTTTCATATTTTTTTAAAAAATCAATTCACCCCAAACAAGGCAATAATGCCACTAAGATGCAAGAGGCTACTGGGAGTGAAAGAGAATGAAAAACATTTTAGAAAGAACTGGCAACCCAATCCTAAACAGGGAACAACGGATAAACCTATATTTTTGTTCAAAAGACTGGGGAGGAGTATGAACCGGATGATACACATAGCCATCTACTCCTTTTGAGGAAAAAATAAAAATAAATAATAAATAAAATTTTAGTGTTTAGATAGAGACGTTAAAACTATAGAGTTGATGTAGACTTTAGAAAGAACTGGAAACCTAATGCTAAACAAGAAACAAGGGATAAACTTTTACTCTTGTTCAAAAGACTGGGGAGGAGTGTGAACTGGATGGTAGGCATAACTATCTATTCTTTTTAGAAAAAATTTAAAAAAAAATAATTAAATAGTAAATAAAATTTCAGAGTTTAGGTGGAGACATTAGAAATATAGAGTTGAAGTAGACTTTAGAAGGAACCAGAAAACCCAATCTTAAGCAGGAAACAAGGGATAAACCTGTTTTTCAAAATTACAACAGATTTAATGGTATTAGCACATACAGAATACACAGAAAAAAAAACAGGATTTCAAGTTTAATACTCAATATCATCTCCTTTCTTCTAAATCATAGTATCCTACCATTCAATAAGGTGATAGATAGATAGATAGATATAAATAGACAGAGATAGATGAATAGGCATAGATAGATAGATAGATATGAAAAGAATTAAATATATATATATATATAGATAGATAGATAGATATGAATAGATATAGATAAATATGAATAGACATAGATAGAGAGATATGAATAGACAGAGATAGATAGATAGATAGATAGATAGATAGATAGATAGATAGATAGATATGAAAAGAATTAAATATAGATAGATAGATAGATAGATATGAATAGACAGAGATAGATAGATAGATAGATATGAAAAGAATTAAATATAGATAGATAGATAGATAGATATGAAAAGAATTAAATATAGATAGATAGATAGATAGATATGAAAAGAATTAAATATAGATAGATAGATAGATAGATATGAAAAGAACTAAATATAGATAGATAGATAGATAGATATGAAAAGAATTAAAGATAGATAGATAGATAGATAGATATGAAAAGAATTAAATATAGATAGATAGATAGATAGATATGAAAAGAATTAAATATAGATAGATAGATAGATAGATATGAAAAGAACTAAATATAGATAGATAGATAGATAGATATGAAAAGAATTAAAGATAGATAGATAGATAGATAGATATGAAAAGAATTAAAGATAGATAGATAGATAGATATGAAAAGAATTAAAGATAGATAGTTAGATAGATAGATATGAAAAGAATTAAAGATAGATAGATAGATAGATATGAATAAATATAGATAAATATGAATAGACATAGATAGATAGATAAATAGATAGATATGAATAAATATAGATAAATATGAATATACATAGATAGATATGAAAAGAATTAGATAGATAGATAGATAGATAGATAGATAGATAGATAGATAGATAGATAGATAGATAGATAGATAGATATGAAAAGAATTAGATTGATAGATACGTATGAAAAGAATTAGATAGATATGAATAGACAGAGATAGATAGGAAGGGGTAAATTAAGATATAAGCAGTTCAATACAAAGAGACAGATAGCTTGATATACTTATAGATATGTACATGTTGTGATAGATAGATAGATAGATAGATAGATAGAAAGAAAGAAATACAAGGTTTGATGACAAATTAATGCCCATTCTTTTATTCCAATATATTTTAATAAGAGAAACTTGCAAAGCCTACAAAAATGAACAAAAAATCTCAGGATTTCAAATCTAATCCTCAACATAGTTTCCTAATTTCATAATCATAGCATCAGGGTTGGTCAAAAAGTAATACCTGTTTTTCTTTAATTGTAGCCGATTTAAGATTCAAAACCCACAAAGCAGAGCGAACATCTTAAGATTCCAAATCTTCTCCTCAACATTGTCTCCCCCCTCTAAATAACTATATTTCAGCTTTTAATGAGGCAACAGATAGATAGATAGATAGATAGATAGATAGATAGATAGATAGATAGATAGATAGATAGATGAAGAGATGCAAGATTTGATCACTAAGTAATTCCTATTCTTCTTTAATTGCAAGTTTTAATCAGAGAAGCACTCAATGCATTGCCAAAATGAGCCACAAAGTTTCAGGATTCCAAGTCTAATCTTCAAAATTGTCTCCTTCTTTCTAAATTGCAATACAAAGATCAGTTTAAAAGTAATGCCTGTTCTTTAATAGAAACAGATTTAATAGTAAAAGTATACAAAGTAAATCTAGTACTTAATACAGTCACCTTCTATTTTAATCACCTTTGAATGATGTTGTGTATACTTACCTCATTGACACTTCTTATTCTTACAAATTCATCAGCCTTATAGTAATTAAGTAATTAATTGACAATGACTGACCTCAACACAAACCACAAATTATATTTCTGCTAAACACTAACAAGATAGGATCTTTACTCCAGCAAAAATATTTCTTCATTCAAATCTTGTTTTGTTTTTCTCTTTATTTGAAGCAATGCAGATTTATTTATAAAGATCTATAGATATTCATTGCATTCACCTCAAATTCTTTCTGGTGTTGAAGGCATTCATGCTTAAGTCTTATCTTCATGCTTGAGTAAAGATTTAGAAAAACAAATTGATTTTCTTGCCTTTTCGTTTCGGTCTTGTGTTTTTCAATAGCTTTCAGCCAGAAAATACCCAAGTAGTTTTCAAAAAACTTCCATTACATTAACATGTTGAGTTTTACCATTAAAGTGTTAGCAAGAATTTCCTGTGTCTTGCCACATACTTCATATGTCTTTTGAAATTGCTCCAGCAAAAAATAAAGAACCTTGTTTTCTATCAATTTTCTAGATTTCTAGTGAAACTGTTTCATGCTATACAAAGTCTTAAGTAGCACCTGATATATTGCAAAGTATAATTGGAATTATTATAAAAGTCTTTTATATCAATAAGTAGCACTGGAGTAATGGATCAACAAGGATAGTTGGGTTGAGGTTACTAATGAGTAGTGAGTTCAATCCATTTTATAATAAAATCATTTCCAATGCATTTTAATAATAAACTTCCTAATAAAAATCATTTCCAATGCATTTTCTCCATAAAAATCATTTCCAATGCATTTTCCTAATAAAAATCATTTTCAATGCATTTTCTCCATAAAAATCATTTCCAATGCATTTTCTCCATAAAAATCATTTCCAATGCATTTTCCTAATAAAAATCATTTTCAATGCATTTTCTCCATAAAAATCATTTCCAATGCATTTTCAAAATAAAAATCATTTCCAATGCATTTTCATAATAAAAATCATTTCCAATGCATTTTCAAAATAAAAATCATTTCCAATGCATTTTCGTAATATACGTTACTTGATTTTCAGTGAAAAGATTAAAAATAGATTGTGTCCTGTGATTTTCAAAATTAAAGTTAATTTTAGATTGATCAAATTTTTTATATTGATTGAGACAACATGAGGTTGGGCAAAGCAGTGGGAGGGAGAACAAGAGTAAAACCCCAAAAAAATCATTTCCAATGCATTTTCCTAATAAAAATCATTTCCAATGCATTTTCAAAATAAAAATCATTTCAATGCATTTTCGTAATATCGTTACTTGATTTTCAGTGAAAAGATTAAAAATAGATTGTGTCCTGTGATTTTTCAAAATTAAAGTTAATTTTAGATTGATCAAATTTTTATATTGATTGAGACAACATGAGGTTGGGCAAAGCAGTGGGAGGGAGAACAAAGTAAAACCCCAAAAAAAATCATTTCCAATGCATTTTCCTAATAAAAATCATTTTTCAATGCATTTTCAAAATAAAAAATCATTTCAATGCATTTTAAGTAATATACGTTACTTGATTTTCAGTGAAAAGATTAAAAATAGATTGTGTCCTGTGATTTTCAAAATTAAAGTTAATTTTAGATTGATCAAATTTTTTATATTGATTGAGACAACATGAGGTTGGGCAAAGCAGTGGGAGGGAGAACAAGAGTAAAACCCAAAAAAAATCATTTCCAATGCATTTTCCTAATAAAAATCATTTCCAATGCATTTTCCTAATAAAAATCATTTCCAATGCATTTTCAGATTAAAAATCATTTCCAATGCATTTTCTCCATAAAAATCATTTCCAATGCATTTTCAAAATAAAAATCATTTCCAATGCATTTTCTCCATAAAAATCATTTCCAATGCATTTTCCTAATAAAAATCATTTCCAATGAATTTTCCTAATAAAAATCATTTCCAATGCATTTTCCTAATAAAAATAATTTCCAATGCATTTTGATCCTAAAATTCATTTCCAATATATTTTCATAGTAAATGAAAGCATAGCACATAATTTGTTTGCTATTATATGCCCATCTATATTGAGTACGTACTCATAAAAGACGTGCTAGGGAATGTGTAGAAAAAGATTTAGTGTCTCTGTTTTGCAGTTAAATAGTTAATTACAAAAATGACTTTCACCTAAAGGATGGTCAGTTAGATTTTAGTTTGGAAAGGGAAAATCATACTACAGGCTTGAAGATAAAATAAATATCGAAAAGTAATTTTTTTGTAATTCTTTCAAATTTATTCAAATTTATTACTAAAATTATCCAAATTCTTCTAATTCTAAAAATTTTATTTTTTTATTCTATAAATAAGTATTTTTGAGAAAATTCAGTGCAACATCCTTGTAAAATATGATTATTTTTTTTTTAAGCATTTCATACCAAGCAAGGTGGGAGTGCCACAAGCACACAAGGGGTTACGGAGAGTGGGAGTAAGAGTAAAGAGGCATGATAGAGGAAAGGATGAAGAGAAGGACGGGGAATTAGATCAAGGCGTCTGAAGATGTCGATTGACATTGCATTTGAATATTTGGAGATTATAGCTATCGGGGAAGCAAGTAAGAGGAAGGGAGTTCCACACATGGGAAGTGCAAAACATGAAGCTATTGGAGTAGAAGAGACGGCTACATTTAACAGTTTCAACAGTAAAAGGATGGGACTGAGATCCCAACCTAGTGGCACATTTAAATTTATGCAGTTTGGGAACTGACAAAAGTAGCTCATCAGAGCAGTTACCGTGAAAGTATTTATAGAAAAGACAGAGGGAAGCGATGGCAGATCTGTGAGAAAGTGACTGTAGACGAGATGCCAGATCAGTGCCAATCACATTGCATATCCATCTCTGGATTTCGTTGAAGACCTTGAGATGAACAACTGGGGTTCCCGACCATATGGCAACAGTATTCCATGCAAGGGTGAATGGTTGATTTATAGATTTAGACTCAAGCAAGAAAAACTTTCTGGAACAACACAGAGAACCAACTTTCCTTGTGGTAGATGAAGCTATTGATTCACATTATTTGTTTCATCTCAAGTCAGCGGACAGTGTGAGACCAAGCAGATGCAGAGAGGTGCTCTCGTGGAGTTGAGCATCAAACTTTCTAATGGGAGGCAGGGAGGGTTCTCTGTGGTGAGTAAAAGAGAGCAGTTTTGTTTTTGAGGCTTTAAAGTTTACCAGCCATTTCTTGCCCTACTCAACCACAGATTGGAAATTAAATCTTTAAAATATGGCACTTATATATTTCGGCTTGGGCTACACAATCATCTCTCTCTTGAAGAAGAAGAAAAAGGTGAGGAGGATAGATTACAGAGTTGAAAAGCATTTGCACAACCTTGTAGGTGATGAATTATTTTCCATCCGACAA